TATTGACTATCATCGAGACAGACTCTACGTTTTCTCACTCTTCATGCATACCTTTTTACTTATGATTCCGATGTGGGTTTCTTGTCTGTCTGGTGACAGGAATCTCTTAGCTCGTTTTAGTGATCCCTTTCTCGTCGCTTGAGACGAGACTGCATGGATTTTTTATTGTCTTCATTGCTAGAGCCTCTCCACTTTCTACCTTTGGCTACCAGATCCTTCCTGTCCATTATGCCTTCATGGCCTGTGCTCAATTCTGGTTGTTTAATGCAGTTAGAAGAAATACAGTATTATTGGTCTGTCGTTTAGTATATACATTTAACGGTTGGAACATGATTCTGGGCGATATAGGAAATATGATAATGCCATGAGTTAATTGTTCAAATGCCAAGATCATCAAATTGTTTTCCATCAAATTGCTTTACTCAAAGGTATACGAGGGTCAGTAGGCCTGAAAAGAAAAGACAGGATAGCGATAATCACCTTTTAAATCACGGAGCATGCAGCATACTACTCGTTTAGCTGAAGAAGATTATGAGCTTCAATCCTCTTCGTTCACCGTGCCTCACAATAGTCATGCCTCACGTTTGATTCAGGTTCTTTCATATGATTCAAAATATGCCTAAAAATGATGATCGCCGACAGCATTCACGACCTTAACGTGCACCTGTAAGCGATGTGCAGTTGAAATATAGATCTAGAGTGAGGCATCTGAATCTATAAACCTAGAAATCAGAAACCAATAGAATAAATGTGTATCAGAAACACAATGTGGTATATGTTACGCTATCTGCAGAAAATGTGTTCACAGTACTGTTGCTGTTTACGGAACAATTGAAGCATCGAAAATTCCACAGTAACTGTAGAGATTGACATAAAGAAAAGCAAATGGCGATGGTGTACGTAAGCATACAAGATATTCGAATCATGGTCAAATTAGATGAATTATAAGATTTGAATGAAAGGTAGGTGCATTTACCCATATATTACACCCATGAATATGTTGGTGCTATCACGGGTGCAACCTACAAGGTTCTGGGTCTTCATGGACAAGGATGATATATCTAGTTACTACCTGAAGGATATATAGCGAGCGAAGGTCTCTACGAAATGGTTCATATAATTCTCTCCGTCGAGTTTCAAATTGGCTACAAAGATTCACAAGTCAACAGTGCAGTTTTGGGAGAATCTGGTGCTGTCGGTCCCCGTATCTCCATTCTATATCCTGTCATTGGAACTCGCTCCATCGTAATACCTGTAGTAACATCCCACAGGTTAGCCGTAATGTTGTCCATGTCACGACAAGGGCGTGAGCAGCATCAGCGAGACAAGTGATCGGCTGTATGACGCACAGATTGACAACCACAAGTGAATCCTAATCGCAATGGTTTCTACGTAAAGTTCCAGCATAAAACATACATCTAAAATTGTTCGAAATACGTGTTGAGGAAATCGAATCTTCCAATTTTGCGCGTGGTTTAGCTATGCTAGACAACAGGTGTCAAGTAGGAGCAGAGAAATACGCTAATTCATGGCCCAGTTGTTCACAATGACAAGTGTAATGTATATAATATGTACATAATACTTTTGAATCTGAACGTATCAAATTTTCGCAAATGTTGGGAGCAAATACTCTGAACGTGAACTGTACAGACCCATTTCAAACTTTTTTTATGACCATCACGGTTGGAAGGTCTCCGAAGCACGAAGGCATGGTTACACACTTTCACTGTAGCCTTGGAAGATATTTCGGAACGTAACGGGTAGCTACGTTCACATGTTCAGAGAAGAGGCATCAGCCACAGCTGGTGTTGGGCATATAACATTGTCTGACTCAGACACAGTTCTCACTCTGTCATGTTATGAATTCACCGTATGGGATACCAGAGACAGCTAGTCATTCGGTGAGCAGAACAACACAGCTAATTCTCATGAGGACACAGGCAGGGCAAAGGCTCTGCCCTGTCCTCTGTTTCTATGTGAATTAGCTGCATGTTTGCTCACTTCAAGCAGTAACTATGGAAGTGCAAGTTGTGTGTATGCTGCAGTAGTCTGGTATACAGTGACTGACTGGGAGACAATGACTCAAAATTTGTTGCATGACGTCATCATGCAACACTTTGCTATGCACAGGTCCTGGTTCGGAGTCTAATTGTGTTTTGAATTAGTGTCAACTTTACTATAGCACTTGCATCTGAGAGAGACGTTCACAGATCCCAGATCCAAAACCTACAGATGTTTAGTGACAAATATCCTTAACAGACGTCACTCGAGCAGGGAACTGAAATTCGTCCGTCATGACAACAATTATTTTCATAGAGGGAGTGTTCGGTCGTCTCGTTCACTCTTAGGCTATCCCTAAGATTTTGCAGACACCCAATTAATTATCCGGTCTTACCACATGGATGTCAACCGTGAGATGCAGCAATTATCGTAAGTACACATTATAGAAACTCCAACGTCATAAAGTGTCTCTGGAATAGACAATTTAGTCCTTCACATTGTCACTGACCTCCAGTCTACTTGCAGCTGATGAGGTAGATACAAGGAAGTTAGTGAATGGATCCATTTCGAACTGCTGAATCATGGGACTCATAGCCGGAATCAGCTCGGAATAAACTGCATGACGTCTTCACTACATGTCCGAGGTAGCTAGCAAATGTACATGGGGCGCAGAAACAGACTTCTTTTAGGGTTCTTCGGATATCCTTGTTAGCATGTCGGATCGATCTCTACAGGAAAATGTTTCCATCTGAGCAAGCTGATAATATTTTTAATATAAGCAACATGATGGATACATACATACGTGCAGGTAGGTTCGTGGACTCGAGCTTGGATCATGATTGGACGACGATAATGCAATATTCAACACTTCGGCGACGTTCCCACTTACCCATGCGAAAAGACGCCAACATTGAGAAGCATACTTCTCCCGACGGAATGTAGAGATTTTAAATGTACCCTGCACTACGTTTGGTATTTTTTAATAGATATCTTGGCTTTGCGGAGGCCGTACCAAAGTCTTCCACCTCTGTGAACCAGACTGTCAAATCAATCATATTCCTTCTTTCCCGTATTGGAACTTCCGCTATAATGGGACTGAAGAAGCTCCCAGTTCGTTTTGCGAGGGAGATTTATCAAGTGTAGCTGATGATATGCATGTTTGCAGTTTTGCCAAAATCATTTGATATTTATCGGCTCAGAGTTTGACAATCAGTTTCATAATCTTCAAAAAGACATCCAAGAGATTCATATCTTCAAGTCATGTTCCACCATCAACTGAAGTACACTTAACAATATCAACCTACATGTGGTCTTTATTTCTGAATATAGTTAGGGTAGGCTGGATGTGTCCTAAGAATAGTCTCAATCTTTTTCCTCAAGCAAAGAAGATGCGTAAGACCCAGAGATGATCTAGGTTTTTATCGTATCGGCAAGATGATTATATATAGCAATATTCGTTGAGAAAATTGCGCTCACACAGCTCAACTCGACATCTGTCGATTGCTTTTGACTTTCTCCGAAAGTTCTATTTCTCCTAGAGGTTCGAAGAAACTTTACGTACAAGATTATAATGGTAGTGAGTAATAATAGCTTCTCTCAGTAGCAACTCCGAGAGAAGCTTGAACCTCCAGAGCCAGGGGTTTCTATTAATGCCAAGAACCGATCCTATGGTGGGCTGTTATACAAATCCCTGTCATTCAGTTCGTCCGTTTCCTGCTGGACAACGAGATAAATCGAGCACATTTGTGGGCCTACGGTACGAGGCTTTAACAAGCAAAGGATCACACAACGACCCTTGTCCTGCGAAGCATAACTTCATCTTTTGATTTAAAGATTACGGGGCTGAGCCCAACATATCTAGAGAGTAAGCTTATTGAAAGACAACAAATCTGCACATTTCTCAAAGTTAAAGCGAGAACCTGACGAAGTATAAAACTCTCGCGAAGAACTAGTGTGCACGTCACTCGTTCGGGAACGACGTATTGGTCGGAGCTTGGAATTATGTATTATGATATGTATAGCTGTAATGAAGTCAGAAACCTAATCTGGCCGTACAGGCAACAAAAGAAAAAATTGGCCAGGCCTTGCTTTATCCTCTCACGCGGTTTCAAGGTCGTCTTCATCTAGAGGCTACAATATTCGCAAGTCAAGTCCAGGCTTAACATTGAATTTTCATTCCCTGTGTTTCGAATTATCTTCTCATGGACGACAAGGACGAAAAATCAGATTTTGCAACAATTTCAAATTTTTTATATACTTGAGCGTAATACTGGACATACTACGCAGTGTATTAATCTGATACGTAATTGTTAGCGTTCCTTGCTTTATACAATTCTACAGTGTTTATCAGAGACTTACCAAAACAAGAATGAATTGTGGAACTTTTATCTCTCATCCCTCTTCGTGCAGCAGTGTTCAGATAAAGATTTCGCATGCAGAAGAAAACGAAACTCTGCCGACTGAATTTTGTTTCTGAATACATTAATAACAATGGACTGACAGTAACTACTCAGTTACGAGCATGATATGCGAGATCTGAAATCGACTTTCTATTAAAAGTGTTGACACTTCGCTCTCCTGTACTCTCAAGCTGGATGTGGAAAAGATCAGATCGGAATGCGAAATTCAAAGAATCACTTGATGCCGAATAAGTAAGCGAACCCGTATTTGTTATAATTATAAATATGTCAAAATTGTCAGAAAAAATTGTCTGAAATTTGACAACAACGCAAAAACCAACCATTTGTGGTCAAATATTGACAAAACAGTGCTTGACTTTAATGAACCTCCACGAGCCTATTCCTGGGACTTGGGAAGGAAAGTTAACTCGTAGCGGGCCAGATGCATGACAGTGGTTCACGACGTACAGCAATACAAACGATCCAGTGGTAATCGCGAATCCTCGCATTGTATATGTGGCCGACGTTGGTCTTTGCGTTGTTCTTACGTGTGTCATTAGGCACCTGAACTGCAGCCCCTCCATCTTCGATTACCTCGATTCATGATCACGTCAGTGACGTAACCCCAACCCCATCCCTCGCCGTGCTTTGCTTTGGGCTCCAAAGCCACGGTTAGGGTTTTCGGATAATCACGCTGCGCGGTCCGTCTCGCTTTCTCCTCTCGCCGAGTCGCTGGCTCACTTCACTCCTCCATTGCTTGCGTATTTGCAAAGAGAAGGAATGCGAATTTATCGCCGGCTCCCGCCGCTCGCCGGAGCATGGCTAGTGTAGACGTTTACGTTTAGATTGACTGGGTTGACCAGCGGCATCAGAAGGGAGACAGAGCAGAAGACGGGAGGGTGGAATTTGAGCCTCCGGACAAGGGGCTGTAATTCTCGCGGGGGCGATTGGAGGGCCTCAGACTATTTGCGAGCGCGTCGGGATGATGGCGGTGCTCAGCCATTCTAGATCATCGTCGCTTGTTATTCGTATCTGCTCCGGAATCAGGTGCGCCTGCTCGTAGTCCCGTAGGCTGGTTCTGACGGTGATGGTGTCTTGAGCGTGAAGCTTTGTCTGATTGAAGTTCTTTCATGTCACGCAACGTTCGCGGCGACGGTGGTGGTCTTGATTTTGGGGGCACGGAAGCTGACTTTATTACAGTCCAGTTTTCTCGACGGGTATTTGTTGTCTGGTCGTCAATTGAATGCTGAGATTGGATTCATGCTGGACGTGGTAAGTGGGCAAACCTTGACTGGCGTGTGGAACAGCTCTTGCCGTCTTGGACGTTTTGTGAGGTCTTATATTTGAAGCTGGAAGTGTGTCCGTGGAATCGAAGACGCATGTGCTTTGGGTCTGACTTAGCTCGTCTACGCTCGGCTGTCTGGGAGAGAATTTCTAGAGTGTTGTCGAGCACTTGTTGCCACTTGTTATATGCCACGGAACTGAAGATTGAATCATGTGTTTAATATGGGACTCGCCTCTAGGTAAGGTTTAGCCTAAATAATTTACCAAACATAGGAGATTGAATTTATTTCCCAGCGCATGAATCACTGGAAGATTACATATCCGTGACAGGGATTCTCAATGTTGGCAGGCGGTGGACCGAAGACAGTTAAACGGTTACCATTCGAACGGCGTCCAGTGCCCATGTCTTGCAAACATTTTGTAATTTTTGGTCACTACTTTCATGATTGGTAGTGAGGAGTCCAGCGCCTGCTCTTGAATTATATCGGCCGTCGGCTGCTTTGTTGCGAATAGCGATATCAGCGAATTTCTTTTTGCCAGTATAAAACTGCTTCTCGTAGCAATTGCGAAGTGACACATAGCATCACAGGCTCTTCTTGCTCCACAATGTTACTTCATCATGGAGCATATGCAGATGGCAGAACCCCTCCCACTATCACTGAGCGGGGACCTAATCGTTCCTTAAATCTGTACGTCGATTTAGGGATAAGGCCCAGCTCAATAACCTTGTTCTCGGAACTAGGTATAGATCTTTATGTGGATTTACCCATCATAAGTCAGAGTGGTGGCGGACGAACCGAAGGTGGGAAACGAGACAGCAATGAAATCAGCAGTGAATGTGGAGATCTAGTGCAAGAACATTTAGACCTCTCCACTAATTTGTGCATTGAAGATTCTGATGGACCATTGGAGCACTTTCGAAACACAGGTGCTATTCTTTCGGATGGAATGACAACGGGACCTGGGGTTTCTGAAAGGTTTACAGCCACGGATTTAGAGGGTTATGATGGTGCAACTAAATTTGTGGTTACAGATGTATCCACAAATTCGGAGACTGCGAATGCCTGTGAGACATGGGCAGGTGCCAAATTGGAGCATGTGGATATTAGTGAGTCATTTAGAGGTGCCGATGTAGAGAATGTTGATGCCATAGAAACCTATACAGATACAGATGTGGAGAATGTTGATGTGCTCAGCCTACAAAATGTCCAGCTTCCCTTATTCTCGTCGTCTCAGAAAGGAAGCGATGGTCGAGATAACTGGAGTTGGGGCTGCACGGAGATGGAAACGACTTTTGAGCAAGACGTCTGGGATGATGCTGAAATCGGGGCAATTCATGGACTCACGAAGCTTAGGGATGCTTTGAAATACCAACCCTCAAAGTGGTGTTCCGGTGGGGGAGCTGAGTTTTCAACAGGAGGCACACCGAGCTTGGATAAAATGAGGGAGTCCATGAAATTGCCAGATGATGAGCTCTACCATCTACGACTTCACTTAGAGTACTTGTCTAAGCGGGTAAAGCATTGCCGAGCCAGTGTACAACAGCCGAAATCAGCGTCGGAATTCAAAAGCATGAAACCTTGGAGAAGGAATGTCTGCAAAGACGGTCAGACTTGTAAGCCGAAGAAGGGTAAACCTCTGAGTTTAAAGAGCTACTACAAGGAAAGCGAACGCATGAGAAGACCCTTGCTGCAAGCATTTAGATCCGTCAAACCCTATATGTAAATTTATGCTTAGAGGGCTCGATACTGTGCATACTAGAAATTGATACCCTGTAAAATTCAACGTTAGAAACGCCTACAGTAGTTCTCGACAGGTATCTCGAGGTACTCAAATATGTAAATTAAGTCAACTGTATTTTAGTAGCACGTAAAGACTAAAATGCAAGAGAGATGATACAGATCCGGCTTTAAGATACGAATGTAGAATACGAAAATTTGTGACCTCTCAAACAATTTCACACCATTTTGTGTAAACTGCACTGCCGTTCAGTTCTCAGTCTTATATGTCACTCACATTCATTTTCTCCAGATCCAAATACTCTTGGCTTTTATGGTCTAAAGACATCTAAAGCAGCCAGGGTCGAAATTTGCTTAACTGAATTGAGGGATGTACATATCCACCTGCAATAGACTCTCATTTTAGTTCTTATAGTTCGGTCTAATTTCTTCTGTCCAATCAAATAAACTCCATTAACTCACGCGAAAGGTCTTCACTGTGTTTACCGGGGTGACCGTATAGTCCGAAAATCAGAAAAATATAGTGCACTTGATCATCTTGGTTGCACATTCATCTAAGAAGTTGCATTGCATTGTTTGGCATCTTTCTTTGTTCTGAGCCCTCATATCTTTCTTTGTCATACCTGATACATGATCAAAATGGAAACACCGTCTTACTATTTCTATATCTCAACTGTTAAATAGCTGGTCCTAAAAGCAATTCGTTCCGGTACTAGTTTAATCTATATCAAGACCGTTTTCTTCAGAAGTATGAAGCATAGTATTCTGCATCTGAATATACCTACCTTTCTTGCTGCATTGGAAACTCATAACATTTTAATGCTTCCGCAAATCATTTCTTTAACTAGTCATTTTCTGATCGTTTCATTCTAGCCTATCGGACGATAAAGCAAAACAGTGCATACTTTGTAGAACAACCTTAGGGGCAGCAGTACTTTATAGATAGCAGTAAACAATGTACATGAAAAGAAACTATCTTACTGAAGATCTATCTTAGCTGAAATCTCTGTGTCTAAGTTGTGGAGAACGATGGAGCCATCATATCCAGTGTTAATTAAATGTGGAGAGTGATGTGAGATTATTCTCAATTATCCCTATATTTCCTTAAAGTCATCAACCTTGGGTAATCACACAAAAACGAGGAAACATGAAGACGTTTAGTGGGACTTCATTTGTAGCAGCCAAATTCTTAGATATTTAGGTTTCATTCACTTTGGCAGATAGTGTTCTTAACGATATAAAGCTGCCCTTGAATGTTCTTCTGCGCTGAACCTTGCATTCTTCACGATTTGCTATCACTTCACGACCACATCTTCTATTTCGTCAACGTTTCATAAAGCAGAAACTATGTCAAGCATTTTTCCAACTATTGGGCATAGGATACGTGTCTACATAAATGTAATGCCAATCTTCCAAACTCTACCGTCTGGATGATGTCTGTATAAATTGCATCGGAAAAGAACTTCAATTATTTTGGTTGTTTCAAGATAACTCTAGATTATCACATTTTCTGACTTAGTGCTACTGGTAAAGCATCTGGCTAAATTATTGGATTTAGTGAATCACAAGATCTTACTGAAAGATTCAGTATTCAATCAAGGTAGTTTCCAAGCCATTTCGGTAAGAGGTTAGTGTATAAAGATACTGGACAGAAGATAATCACGTTCCCATGTTTTCCCTCGAGCAATCGGCAGCATTTGTTTGGAGTGTACATTTATCGGCAACCTGCCCAAAAATAATTTTCTCAATTATATATGATGTCTGCAGTGAAAGCAAAGTATGCAGCAAATGAGGTTGAAGTAATGGTTCTATCATACTTTTTCTACCCTTCCTGCATCTGCACAAAGTTTAAGCATAAAGAAAACAAGAGTCTAACTAGACAGAGGAAATTTATCTTCGACGCTCAATGTTGTTAAGTTCCAGTAAACCTGGTCAGGGTAGCAACTCGTATTTATGGACTAAATTTTAATTTATAAAATCGCAACGCTTAAGGTCGTTCGAAAGAAGTCAAACCTCATATTTATCAACTGTAACGCAAAGATTTTTCAGTTTTGGGATTAGTATAAATCACAACAATAACAGCAATCTCTTACTATATATATATGCCATCTGACAAGAGTGAGACTTAATCTTAAGATATGCTCTACGTTTACCTTATAAAATGGAAATGGTGTTATAAATTAAACCATTCGTTTCTAGAGCCATCCCATGTTGGCTGTAAACGGCTTTCCTATGCGACCAGCTTTGACTCTGCCTGCAAATAAATAAAAGAAGAAGCCACTAGTTACTGAATTGTTCAAAATCTGCTCGTCTCCATGGAAGCTTGGAATTTTCTTCTGCCGTAGGCGGGAATGCTGATGTCCACGCCGAGCTCAAACAAGAGTATCGTCACCACGGCCGCCGCGTCCTGGCTGCCCCCGGGGAGCAGCACTTCACGCCATTCAGGAGGGAGCCCCGTGGAAGGCGCTTTGTGTCTTATGAATGTCGGGTGGATGGCGGGCATCTAAGAATCAAATTTCAGAGGAGAGGGTGGTGTGATTGAGTTTTAAAACATCAAGCGCCTTGGGGTCACGCGAACGAAATAGAAGTACTCGAATTTCGACCAGAATTTGCGATCCTAATAATTAGTGAAGATCCAGATCCTTGACTTTAATCCGATTAATGCGGCTCAGATCATAATATGATTCAATACATGAAGCTCGATATCGGACGCCTTACTAAAATCTGTGATTCAGAAAGCTCAAGCTTTCATCATCCGCTCTGACTGTAAAGCCTATCATTGATAATTTTTCATATTCTTCTGTAGAAGATGTAGTTAAGCAATCTTTCTTCATCTTATTTATTTTCCTGTATTCATATCTTAATCAGTTTTGATGAGTATCAATAGAGAAAGATGTGAACATGCTCACACATCAAGATACAAGTGAATTTTGCCAAAAAAAAAATATCTAACTCAAATTTTCAACATACAGTAGGAATAAAAAAAATACGGAAACAACTCATTTTATATCAATGTCCAAAAATGGATACATTTGAAAATTTGAAGCCCCATTGAATTTTTTTTAAGAAAAATAATGAGACATCAAATCAAAAATCATGAAAAATCTTTTTCAAAATGACTAACCCGAAAAAAAAAATTCAATAAGTTTTTCAGTTATATGTTTAGTTTTTCCAAAAAAAAATTCCACATTGCATTTTTTTCTTTATCAACTATAGACAAAATTATAATTTCTTCTATGTGTCATCCTTTATAGCTTTGTGTATACAAAGAAATTATGTGTTATTTAATTTTAAAAAAACAAAGATATTTATAAATTGACAACCTAGAAGTCACACTATTATAAAATAGATTTCAAGATGTAATTAAAATTCCAAATGATGTTCGTCTTGGTTGATTGAATTTTTTTAGATGACTCTTACACTACAACATTATTAAACATATTACATACTAGATATTATAATGAGACTATATAAATTTTATAATGATATGCAAATCTTACTACAACTCCAAATCTGTATTGTAAAAATTGGAAAATTTGAAAATTATGTGCTGTAAGAAATGATTTTTTGCCAAAGATTGAATGTTGAGCACAACATTGCATTTGAGCTTTTTGAAAGTAGTTGAAGTAGGCGCGGAATTCAACAAAATCTAATATAGTTGATCCTCATTAAAAACAGAATTTTTAACTTGAGATACATTACAAACGAATCCACTGTTTACAAGTAGATTTTCAAAGATTATAGATAAAGTTGCTATTTACGTCTTCCTTGTTGATCAATCATTTTCATTCATGTTCAAGTTCTAGCACAACCTGATTTTAATGCCGATTGAAAAATAATGCACATCATGTTATAAGTTAAGAAAGAATTTTATTCAACTCTAGTCAGTTTGAATCCAATTAATTGAGCTTGTTTGTTCATCACTTTATTGAAAAACTCATCAAAGCTCTGAATGACATAAATTGGATTTATCGTGAGTTCATTCGGAATTCATATGTATATCTAGACTAATTCTCACCCAAATTTAGCTCTAATGCTTTTCAATAGCTGAAAAGATTTTAGACAGTTGATATTTCATCTATATGTCCATCTGTAAAAAAAATCTAATTTTTTCTTTTCATTCTTAATAAACTCTCAAGAAGTTCAAAAATATTTTGCCAATACAAAGTATTTTGATGAAACAATTTTTTAACAAAAATCTCTCCGAACTTGCTTGTAAATTTTTTGTATATTTCACTATTGTTATTAAAACTCCATAAATTATCAAGACAATGTGTTATTATCTAATTTATTTTCATTAAGATTAATTTTGATAGTTATGAAGAATTTCTAAGAAAAGGATAATCTCGTAGATAAGGATATTTTTTACTACCTGTATATAGATTTTAGGTAATAGAATAAGGACAACCTTGACCGTAAGTATATCTTTAGTGATTCACAATGCCAATTTCTCAATCTCACCTATTTTGACTTTGAGTATCCTTAAGTCTAAATCCTCAACAACACAACCACCAAAATGGACAACAATAAACGATATAGAGCCTTGAGTAATGCTGAGAAATGCATTATTGAAAGGATTTTAGTCCAATACGATTTCCAGTGATGAAAAGAAAAAGTAAGATGTTGAAATTATAACTACGCTTGAAGCATTAAGGTGTATGGAAAAGTTCAACCTTTGCAAGTTACAGAAGGGAAATATTCGCAATATTCGTGTTACAAGATTTCTACAACCATTAAGACTACGCTCGACAACTTCCTTAAGTCTAAATAGACCATCTTTAATATAAGATTACTTCGACATCTCATTGAAATTTCACGCTTCCAATCGTATCCTTATATTGAGTTTTGATTGTATTATTGTTGATCAGTTTAGAAATTTTATAAGCTTAGTGTCTTCAAATTGAAATGATAATATGCTATCGAAATTTTTGAAATTTTTAAAATCACAATTTGTCACTGAATCAAACTTAGACTTGGTCTTATCAATTAAAATTGTACTACTAAGTAAGATAATTTCAAATTTTCATGTATTCAAAATTTTCTTGTTTAAATTTTTAAATTTAATCAAAAAAAGGTGTGATGCTCATTAATCATTTATAATATTATTCTAATTTTTTTTGAAATATATAATCAATAGCTAGACTAAATCATAGCTAGTTAAAATAAGTCACGGCTACTAATCAAGGTCAAATTTTTCATAAATCTACAATTGATACACTTACATATTTTTGGCTTTTACACTTATTT